ACCATTAATAATGAGGCCATAAAAGTGAGAAAGGGAGTCTTAAGAGCGAACTCGAATCTGATTCTGACTCTGATGTATCCTATCTGGATTGGCAGGGGTGCCAGAAGCAGCAGCTTGGATCCATTGTCATTTTATCTACCTTAAAAGCTCTTTCTTTTCACATAAAGCAATCTCCTATGCGTTCTGTACCTTCCTTTGGACTCTACCTCTAGGCCTATCAGTATTGCGAGACTGTTTTGTTGGTCTGGGTGGTAGAGGGGAACAATTGACTTGCACTTTGTCATGACAGATTTACAGCACAGGAAGACCACTTGAAAGAATGTTTCAGACTACTTTCAAATAGAATTTTTTGTGTGTTTGATCTGGAGGAGGCAACATGTACCTTCCTGGGGTCCCAGAGAATGGAACGGAAGGCAGGACGGACTCCTCTGTCTGAGCTTTGAAGTTAAACAAGAACAAACTTTAATCATTGGTAAAGACCTGTTCCAAACATGTTTTGATGTCTAGCCTCTGATATTTAAGCGTGCTATAATAGATAGGGAAGACTACATGGGATTCACAAAGCTTAGAACGAAATACAAGTTTTGAAACAAAAATTTAAGGAAGTCATTTATACTCTTTTTTTGTTCAACTTTGTGGAAACTGCAAAGTTGTCTTCTGTTGCTGACGTTCTGTGCTTTCACACTCTATGCTGCAAGTCATTTTGTGGATATTTTGGGGTGCTAGACCACATAAAGGAAAACGAGAAATCTCCTTGTTTCTTAACTAAGAATTAAAAGCTACATTTTACCTGGTGACACTATTAATTACAATCGCCTGTACTTGCCTTGTTCAACTGTTTTATTGTCATTTATAATTAGGTAATTTGCTTTTAAAGCAAAGACCATGTCTGACAGGTTAATATCACATGCCCATCACTCTCCATTTAAATAAAACGGGTTGTCATGTATGCTGTATTACGGAAGACTGAAATAGATGAAATTTGTGGTATCATATATGCAGAAACAATGACTATACAAACATGTCAATATTTCATTCTTTAGTCCAAATTTCATTTTCCTTTGGATCAAAGTTTGCTTTGGAGTCATTTTGCAATAGAACAGATTTCATTTCTTAAACAGAACTAAACTAGGAGCTAAAGGAAAGCTTAAAAAAAAAATGTCTGTCACCTTTATATTTGGACTTCCCAACCATTTCTCTCATTACTTCATTCTGTCTCATATTTCATAGCACATTTCTGTGAAAAGTAAATGAATCACCCACATATATAAAAATATTTCTTAACACAGACAGATGGGTATGGATTTATACATGCAGAAATTTACACGCATATACACAACACACATAGGTATATAAAATATGGTCTTAGAATAAGAATAAATGTGTGTACAGCTATACTGAATACTTGGTATGTTGTAGAACCCTTGGGTAAGTTTTTATGGATTTGATTTATTGGCTGACTGAGTTGATTCATTATTTGTATATGATTTTTTGCTGCTGGGTGGCCATAATTTACAATTCTGGACCTAGTTAACTCTGTGGGTGCCTAGAGATTCCTGTATGAACATCTCCAACTATTGTTTAAAGAGATAAATGAAGTGGACTTGCTTGAATGAGCAATTTACTCATGAGGAGCAAAATATGGTCAGGCAGGCAGGTCATAGATAATAGCTTTCAATAAGTCTCTGTAAGTCACCATACTATCATACATTCTCTTAATGTGCAGACGATAATCCATACGTGTTACAGGCAACTGAGGATCATTTGTGATCGCAATCTTTTCCTCTTATTAGAATTCAGTGCTTTTTTTCTTGTATTATCTCTACTTGCGAAGCCCTGATGGATCTGCTGGTAGGCACAGAACAGAACAAAACCCTGAGAAGGTGTGAAAAGTCAAGAAGTGGCCTGGCTTCATTTCCGTAGAAATGAAACGGGACACGCACTTTCAGACCTGGACTGAAAGCTTTGGCAGTTTAGTAGAGCGATTTCTTTTCCCATGACACACAGTATCTCCCAGAGCAGGGTAATAAAACTGCTTGCTGTATGTTGTTTACTGGGAAGAAGGGGCTTATCTTTGTATTCAAGAGGGTGACAACTCTTCTGGAGTTTTGGGGTGTAATGGTGCCCTGCCTATCCCTTTTCCAAACCACTGTACCATTTGCTATGAAGTCCAGCTGGTGTATGCTGAGGCAGGGGCAAAAATATGAGAAGAGCCAAAGCACTCAGATTAAAATGCCTTCATTAACTGTTAAGTGTCCACAGACTATAATTCAAATTCGCAGGATTTCAGATACTGTGCCCAAAGGTGATTGGAGTCTTTACTGCTCTAAATGCTGGAGATGAACTGGACATACCGAATATGAACTTAGTAAGACAAAGAAATGTAGCAGTGTTTCTGTATGTATTCCTACCAGATTTCACACGGATGTGTTTCACTGTGTCCTTTCTGACTCAGACTTGTTGGTCTGCAATCCGTAGGTGTCTCTGGGGTTTCCTATTGCGAGGAAAAGTGGCAAACACTGCACACAGGCAACGTCAGTTTGTCATAGCTGCAGTTTTCATTTGCATTGTCTCATTAATAAACAGAAGGGCTTGATCAGTTTTTCCAAGAGGGTGGGTACTTAATTGTTAAAATTTAATGAAAAACTTTAGTAGTTACCCACCGCCCACCAGCGGAAGTTTGCTTATTTCTAGCCATCTGTGGCTGCTCCAGTTACAGACGTGTAATTCCACATCCAATTGTGGTACATTTTATGGTAGCTGTGTAATTCATCACAATTCCATGTGGCATAACCATCACTGGAGCTCAAGTTCTGAACATTTCTTACATTTTAAGGAAAACAACCAAACAAACAGAAGATCGGCAAAAGAAAACCCTTTACAAATGCGTTCAGAATTCCATCTTGGAAGCTCAGCTTGCTTCAGTAGGTGTGTCACATCTTAGGAAGTCTGCCTTAACATCCATAAGGGAATGTTACCTCTGCCTCTTCTTTCTTATATAAATCTCAAATAACTTGGAAGACAAGCAGCTTTCAATGATTTTTTTAGTCGTTCATATGCTTCTGTTTTAATGCTGCTTGTCTCATCTATGCTTTGAAGAGAGTCCTGTGGTGATTCCCACAAGAAATTCCTAGGATAGCTTTTACTGGAGGTTACAATTTGTGCAAGATAAGCAATTGTGTCATATTGTAATGGATTTGAATGGGATTTTGTTACATGATGCAATAACAGAGAAGCACAAATGCTACTGAATGTCAGTAGGACTTGGAGGACATATGAAAATCACTGCTTTCAGTTTACATGGGTTTGAAATCATCAGATGAGTTGGTAAATTCCTGTGATATGCAAATACGTTTCTTTGTTAAATCCAGGGTATTCATTGTTGATACACATGAAAAGTATGTATTTCTGCGTGTGATTTGGATATACAAATACCACAAGTGAAAGTCTTTCTAAAGCTGTTTTTTTAAAATGTTTTGCATAGATTAATTGGAAAACAAATCACTTTCAGTGATTACTTTCAGTAATAATTATAGACAGACTCCTGGTTATATTTTACATTCTCTTCTCCTGCTTACCAGTTCAGGCAGTCAGCAGTCTGAAAGTTCACGAAGATTCTTGAAAAATGTGTATTTGCAGGTCACCTTTGTTGTTTTTTTTTTTTCATCCTTCAAATCCCCATTGAAATTTCAGCATTGCTGGTTTCCTGGATGCTAAAGGACAATCTCTTCTGTTCTCAAGCAGCGAGTGCCAAAGGCAGCGGAATGAAATTTGTATGCAGCGCTGTCTGCGTTGCACGTGCGCGTTCATTTATCTCAATAACCGACTGTCATCTCTCTGCGCCCACATCTTACAGTGATAATAAGAGCCCAGCGCTGCTCAAGATGTCAGATTTTCGGGGATAGATTTCTAGCTGCAGGCAGCTCCGGCTAAATGCCTCATCTTGAGAACACTCTCGTCCTTGTCACTGACCACATCAGACCCTTTCATGTAGCTGCCTATGTGGCTTTTATTTGTTGTGGACTTCCACCCCTGCCTGGAACTGCAAGTGATTTGACTCGTAAGCATATGTTCACTTCAAAATGTAGTTAATGTAATTAAGGAACATTTTTGTGTGTTGAAGTAACGTATTCAGCTGCCTCTACAAATTTTGCTGCGTTTTGGTGAACTTTGAAACTTGTTCAACCCTTCGGTCAATGAAATGGGAGAATAAATAGTTTAAGAGGAAGATCAGATCTTTTCGTATGCATTTAATAGGTATTTTTATATAAGATTATAAGATTTGGAATCACAAAGGGTAAGTATGTTTTCTGATTTGTGGGTTATTTGTATTCTGTTATCTTACAAAAACTGAATCCAAAATTAAGAGCAGAATGTTATTCATTTCCCAGTAAGAATTTAATTGCTTCTGCCCATCTGCTTATCAGCCTTTAAAATTACCAATTTAAAGGTGAAAGAACTAAAGAATGAAGAATTTCCTTCACTTCCTTAAGAAATGAAAAGCAAAACAAACACAAGATTCATAAATAATAATGAGCACAACCAGCAGTAGGATAGCGTACACCTATTTCTTGTCAAGAAAAAGTGATTGCAGCACTTGATGTGAAAATGAGATTTATGTCCAGTAGTAATTTTTACTCTCCACCTGATTGTATCAGTACATAGGAAGGGATTGTAGGTTTTCTGGCCAACAAGCATTTAACAGGCTGTTGAACAACCAATATTACATTATGCAGAATGAAAAAAAAAAAAAAAAAAGAGTAATAGGGGTCCAAATCTGAGAGGTTTTAAAATGCTGATATAAAATTAAGAGGCCTTTTTTTGGATGAGAGAAAGAAGTTGGGCTAATAGGGTTTTTTCACTTTTTTTTTTTGGTATGATTTGAAAAATCACTGATGATTCGTTTCGTTTCATTATCGGTAACAAAATATTTTTCAAGTTAATATTCTTATGTCACTAATTCATATTAAGGTATTTTTATCATCTTTGATTTGTCCTAGATCAGAGGAGGAAAGCTTATGATCACATACACAAGAAAGAATGATGCTGGAAAATATGTCTGTGTTGGAACAAATATGGTGGGAGAACGTGAAAGTGAAGTTGCGGAGCTCACTGTTTTAGGTAAGAATTCCTCCTTTAAGGCTTTGTTGATGGAAATGTCCAACTTTCATTTTTCCTAGTAAGCCTTTTATTAAGGGTCATTCTCATCTATTGAAAATATTGAAAATGTTTTTAGTCACGGTTGTGTTCTAGCAAATAGGAGACAGTTAATGGCTCTTCAGTCCACCTGGAACTATTTTTTCTATCAGAAGACGCTTTCATATTTAGTTCTCAAACTGAAAATAATTCCAGTGTCCACTGACTGGATCAGTATTGTAAAATAATAGCAAAACAAAACATTCAGAAGCAGATCTTAACGTTTCCATCTTGCTGAAGAAAATCAGAAGTAGTCTTAAGTTTCTATTTTAAACAATTATTCTTTCATTTGTAGTTGTGTGTACTGAGTACAACAGATCTGCTTATTCAAGTGATCCAAATGATAGTTCCTCTGAGCATCAAAAAATATGTTTTCATTTAAGATAACTGAGCTTAGCTGAAAACTACATTTTTTGCTGCTGTTGCAGAAGCAAAGCTGTGACTCCAAATGCAATCTCAGAGTTCCTTCAGCATGGGAAAAGTCACTCATGTTCACTGCAGATGCATCTTTGGTAGTTTTCATTCAAATATGTCCCATTTTACATTAAAATAGGGGAAGTTTGAAGTAGCTTAATTGTTTCTGGAAAATAAATAGGTGTTTTATCAGCAGTGGGTGAGAATATCCGAGGCATGGTTCATAGCACACTGGTTTCCACCACAGTGCTGCTGCAGCAGTAGCAGTCCTGGCTCTTTTTTTGTTGTTGTTGTTTCTCAGGATGCTGAAGTTGTGCCAGGGGAGGTTTAGGCTGGATATTAGAAAAAGGTTCTTCACCCAGAGTGTGGTTGGCACACGCTCCTCAGAAAAGCAGTCACAGCCTGACAGAGTTCAAGAAGCATTTGAATGATACTCCCAGGCCCATGGGGAGTGTCCCATGCAGGGCTAAGAGTTGGACTCAATGATCCTTGTGGGTCTCTTCCAATTCAGCATATTCTGTGATGTTGTGACTCCTTTTGTTGTTTGGTTTCTGATTTTGTGAATTTTCTTTTTTTTTTTAGTTCATGTTTAATAGCTGTCCTGTCAGTCTTTGGCACTTTTATCTGTCTTCACTACTTTGTAGGAGTTAGAACTCAGGCAACTTTAGGACTTATTCAGAGTTCCATGTGAAGCAGGGGTTTCCATATTAAAAAGGAGTTTTCATGCCATCTTGAAGTAGTTCAAACTGAATATCCAAGCAAGATAGTAGTGTGTAAGCTCTGGGATCAACTGCACTGTTTTGGGTTTGGTTTATAAAGGCTTCTGAAGCCCTTTTGGAGGAAGTTTGTTGTCAAATAGACTTACAGAACTTTCAAACAAAATCTAAAATTGAAAATAAGTTGTAGTTACATGAGTGAAGTCCTGGCACCAGGCTCCTGTGTAACTGTACCAGTTAATAGCTCATCACTAACCTACTACCAGCCAGGGAATCACGGCATGGACTCTTGGGTAACCTGGGCTGGAAAAATAGTCCTCTTGCTAAAAACACCCATAAGAGGGGAGGCATTGCAGGCAGAAGTCTGCCTGGCTTTTTCTTTATCTCATGTTCCCCTCAAGCATATTTTTGATTTTCAACCTGGGGAAACTAGTGAGGTTTTGTTTTCAAACAGGACAGTAAAGCTTTGAATGTCTTACCAGTCTGTGTCTAGAAATCCTTAATACGCCTTTTTTCTTTCAACTCAGACTTGGATACGCGTGAAAAAGCGCAAGAAATATGCTGACTTCATATATTAAAATCTTTCCACATAAATCTTCTATTTATGGGGTTTGGTTATTTAGAAGTTGAACTTTTGCTTTTAGGTCTCTGCTTTAGATCAGAGGGAGAATGTCAGAAACTGTAATATTAGACAGTTTCAAAGTGATCCTTGCTAAGCTTGCCTTGTATGTACCAAATAGTCGTGTGACAAAGATAGATACTTAAATCAGTGCTGATTTCCCTTATCCGTTTCTGCATTTGAATAAGAGTGTTATGAATGGGCAGACAAAAACTCGTGGAAGTCCATTAGTCTTCTTTTAGGAAACTGATCTGGAGAACAATGTGCCTCTTGTGGGTTTTGCAGTCAGGCAGCAGTCCTGGACTTACCAGATCAGTCTTTTTTCTCTTGCATAATTGAGTTGAATATTCTTCCCCGAACTATTCTTACTCTGAGGTTTAATCCGGAATGTTCTTTTCTCGCATTCAGGTTTCAGGTTTTTTTCAGCACCTACAGGAAAGGGGCCAGGGCAGGGGAGGGGTTGGTCTGTATTTGTGTCGTTCTAAATTCACAGCTACATTCTGTAGATCTGTGTTTTATTTCTCACATCTTGCGTATGAACCCAGTCTAGAACTGACAGCTTAAAGATCAACTTGCTATTTAAGTTAACATTATTTCCTAATATTGCCAGCACAGTTAAGTTTTCTGCAACATAAGTGTCCAGCTGGTCTAGACACCCTCGAGAATAAAGGAAGCTTTTTTAAAAGGGCTTTGTTCAGCTCACATTTCCACTTCAGTACTTTTTGAACCATTCACTAAGTTTTTATAATACTGAATCTCTGTATCTTTATCTGCAAAGTCAGAGTAATATTTGAACTGCCGTTTTCAAATACAAATGTGAGACATGAAGAGTATGGGCTTGTCTCTTTATCCTTCTGTCTGGTGCTTTTGTACTTCTGTGAGAAACTTGTGGCATATTTTTGGGTATTCGCACTTCCTGATGGTGCCAATGGCTTCAGACTCTTCCAGTTCCAAGGAGATGATATTTATATCTTTAATAAATCCAAGTCAAAACATGCAACTGCCTTCTCAACTCCCTCAGAGCTTTCACAGGTTTATAGGCAAAAAGGTCATCTGCCTCAGGCAAAGGAACCTGCCAAGTACTCTCCTGTTAAACCTTCCCTGCACTCTCCAGTTAAACCTTCCCAGTTCTTTTATGGACATACTGTTGTCATCTGGTGCTGCTTTTTTAGATGGGTAATCATTCCTGGAGTATCCCAGAAATTGTTTAAAACAGTTTTTTAACTTGTGAGTGTGCAAACCTTACTACACTGCAGCCTGGTGTGGAACTATGAAAATATGAATAGCCCAGCACCATTAAACTTTGAACCCTGTTACAAGTAGAAAGTGTGTTCTTACCTTTCCTGAAATTTGCAGCTGATATCTGGGATGCCAGAATAGCACAGCTTGTACTGAGATCCTGGGTTTTTTTCAGAAATTCTGAGAACAAGTATGCAACTATTAATCTGACTCTGGTGAGCCAGGACCTGGATCATCCATGTCCAACAATATAAGTTGGGGATAACTGCGATTTTTATGAGCAAAAACTACAGAGAAGACATTCTGGGTTTTTTTTTTTTGGCTGACTTGACTTTATGTGTGCTAGTGGCAGAAAATGTTGCCTTTCTAATGTAGCATTGGAAATTCTTGCATCGAGCTCTTGCTGCTGCTGACATCTGCAAACAGCCTCCTGGAGATGCTGTGCTGGGCCTTACTTGGCCTTCAAATTTAGAGAGTCCATTGAGAGAAAACCTCCAGTGAGACAATGTTTGGGTTGTTCCTTCTGTCTCTTTGAAGCAGTGCAGCAGATGAGTGGCTGTTTGTCTGAGTCCTCGCAGAGGACCTGCTTGCTTTCTGAGGGTGGACGTGTATTTAGATTTTATGTTTAGATGGTGTTTGCCTTTAGCTGTATTAGCTGTGACAGGGATGAATAAGAAGTAAGGAAGTCGCTGCTTGGATCCTGAGCCGCTGTTGAGAGTGTCTGCCTGGGGCTGTGAGCGAGAAAAGCAGCAGCAGAGGCACCTCCGTCACATTTGTCACTCTGCTCCCCTTGCTCTGACAACCAGTTGAGTGACAATTGTGATTCAGACACAGAACTGCTGGATTGATCTTTTTTTTTTTTTTTTTTTTTTTCTTTGCCTTTAGAGAGACCATCTTTTGTGAAGAGGCCGAGTAATTTGGCAGTAACTGTGGATGACAGCGCGGAGTTCAAGTGTGAGGCGAGAGGTGACCCCGTCCCTACAGTGAGGTGGAGGAAAGACGATGGGGAGTTACCAAAAGCAAGGTACAATACGTGGAGTTACCTTTCTGTGACATCCAGCTTGGTATATGATGTGGCCTTCAATGTTTGACAGCCAAAATTTCTTTTTTTTGAATAGAGAAGGCCTGTCTTGATATAAGAAGGTGTTTCTAATTACCACTGCACTCTGCTTAGAGTTACAGTTTATGTTGAAACTTCAGAGCAGCCTCTTTTCAACTTTTTGTTGTGACAACACATGACAAATACAACGAAATGTAACCCAGTTCAGTCAGTAATACCAGATACAGATTAATTCTTCACCTGAAGAGTCTTTTGTGATTTACTAAAAGTTTTGAAGATTGTGTAACAAATAGTAAAATAGATTACAACATCAAGAAGTATATACTGGCATTGCAATTGGTATAAAATGTAGTCTGGTAGTGTAGAAAGCTGCCTTGGTTACACATGGTTTTGTGGCCAAGTTTCCAATTAACTGATTTTTCTGACGTTGCTTTAATTCAGGACAAAAAGTAAAACACCTTACTAAAAATAAATACATTGTGTGACAGATAGATGGATGGAGAGATACATACATACATACATAAATGGATTAATTACTTATTTACTTACTTTGAAATCCTAAGTAGCAGTTTAAAAATCTATTAGGGGAGTGGACTGAAAAAAGAAACCCTATAACAGTTGGTTTTAGCCATCCACATCCAGCTTCCTGTTAGCCTAGTCTTTTGATTTAATAAAAACTATATAATTTTTAAGAGAAAAATCTACTTACCATAAAGAGAAACACATTGACTGCATTATACAAAGAAGAGAAAAAGGTGATGAAAGGAAAGTGGTAAAAGGCCACATTGTTCTTAAAAAAAATAAATAATGAATTGTGATTTTTCTTAACTTTCAAGCAATTCTGATCTTCTTGAGTACAATGTTTTCTTTTCAACCATATTAAAAAAAAAACCATTCAGATGGAAAAATTGTAGGGAGAATAATAACTACTATTGTATTTACTTGTTAGAAGTATTTTAGCAATAAAAGTGTTCTGTGTTAGGGCTTCGCAACTGTATTATACTGGTGAAATTCTGCTGCTCTTAGTTAACTCATGTTGCAAATAATATCAGAATAAAGTTTTCAAATATTTTGTTCTTAAAACTTTATTTTACATTATCAATTTGTAAGTGTTGATACTTTATTCCCTTATGGGAAATACAACAATAAGAATACTTGAGAGCAAACCCACCATCTCTTTACCCTTTGCAGAAGTTGTACCAAGTTCCATTGTTCCTATTCATTGTTTATCCCTGTGTATATTTAAAGATACGAAATCCGTGATGATCATACCTTAAAAATCCGGAAAGTTATGGCAGGAGACATGGGATCCTATACTTGTGTGGCAGAAAATATGGTGGGAAAAGCGGAGGCATCAGCAACTTTAACAGTTCAAGGTAAGAAAGTTTCTTTGTAAAGTACTGGAATAAACTACTTGAGACCATGCACAGCTATTAGAGTTGCAGCTTATGCAGGAACTCTCTGCTGTACTGTAGAAAAGAAAAAGTGAAAATACAAATTTGGCTTGAGTTGTACGCTGAGGAAGTGGAAAACACTTCACGTGTAGGATTTTTTTATAAGCAGTCTTTATGGTTTTGGGATGGGGATGTTTTGAATTTCAGTTCTTCAAGTTCAGAATCGTGTCACTTGCAATCTTTGTGTCTGAAACGCTAACTGAAGGAAGAAAGTAATTTTTTTTTCAATTAAATATAGTAAAGAAGCAGTGAATGATAAATCTGTTTGTGTATTTTTTAATACAGTAACCCAGACCACTGGAATTCCTGTTGGTTTTTTCATTATAAGAGCGTATCATGGCACTACTGGCTTCTTTGTAAGATAAAAATTCAGTGGAACTCAGTGAACTAATATGTATAAAAATCCTTCATTGCCTTTATATACACAATCCAGATGTTCAGTATTCAGATAATCCCTCTCTTCCTTTCCTGGCTAGCAGACAGGCGATGATGTCACCCTGATGTTTTTTTTTTCTAGGCACTGATGGCTCTTCTGTCCTTTTCCCTGTTCAGTGGGAATTAGTCATTATGGAGTTCTGGGGAAGGATAGGCTTAAAAGTATTTTATTTGGTAACAGGCCTCTATTTTGACACATTTACTGTAACAGGAAAGGTCTTGTCCTTAACCTGCTTTCCTTTTTCCAACAGAAACATTTGGTATCCCTCTGTTAGGAAAATAGGAATTCTTTTGTCGAAGTTCTCATAAAACCAAGAATTTTGATATGTTCTGTTTTGTTAGACACCATGATGTTTATGCATCAAAACTGATAACTTATGTTTGTAAAATAACCAGCTCTTATGGGCAGTGTTGCAGAATAAAAGATGAACATGTGAGCACTAAGCACAGTTTATTTAAAAGAAGAAGACTGAATTATTTTTAAAATAGTGATTTGTTCTGAAGATCATGTTTTGTATCAGTTGCTAATCCTGTAAAATGTTAGTATTAAGAAAATTTGCTTTATGAATGGTTGAGCAGTTACTTTTCTGGAAATTAGCTATTGGTAACACTAATCCTCCATAGTCCTATTCAAAATAATAAGCAAACACGTTCTTGTAATCTCATTTAGGTTAATGGTGATAATAAAATGAGTTAAGTATGTGGATGTTAGAGTCAAGTGAGATCTTTTTGATAATACACTGGTATTTTTAAGGAAGATGATCACAGCCTAAGTCCTGATTCAGCAAGATTCTAATTTTTTTAAGTACTTGTATTACACAGTAGATATTTACGTTATAACAGCTTTGCTCTGAGGGTATTGTTATGGGATAATTTGTTTCCCAGTGTGAATGGATTACCTCCTGAGCCATTTGTCTGCACTAATGTCTTTGTAGAGGGGATTGATGTGAGAAACTGTAACATGTAAGGCCAATTTGTAGTTGGTAATGTAGTAAATTATGATTAAAATCCATTTATTAGCGTATCCAGGAGACCTAGTTTTATGGGAAGAAAAAAATACTTCTCTAGAAAATGTATTTTCCATTCAGACTTTTTCACATTTTTCCTTCTTTTTCTGCCTTCTCCTCTTCTTCCCTCCTCTTCCCTGCTCTTCCTGTGTTTAAAATGCTTATTTTTGGTCCTAAAGGGTCATCTTGACTATGCTCCATCTAGAGAGGTAGATTGATCTTGTTTCAGTGCTGACATTGCTCTGACTGTTTGCAGACACACAGCTCTTTGAGGTTCTGGTTTTTATGGGTTTTTTTGCAAGATTTTGTAGTTTTTTTTTTTTTCCTGGTGATTTAAGGAATGCAAACGACAAGTCTTTTCTGCACTTTTGGTGATTGTCACATGATCTGTTGACTGTGGAGTTCAGTAAATGTGTGCTCTGCTGTGCCAAATAGAGTTATTTTTGTTATGTATTTGTAAACAGAGGGCTCTGCTGCAAATCACAGCCTCAGAAGTTACAGCTGCCACCGTGCAGTCCGGCTAAATTCATAAAAGGACAATGAGAGGGTTGGGCTTGGGTTTGGGGTTGTGTGGGTTAGGGTTTTTCTTTTCTTGGATCTTTGTTTTGGGGTTTTTTTCCCCTTCAGTAACTCAGCAGCAGGCGGTGGTGGTTTCATGCCAGGCCGTATGCCCAAGAAAGAATCCGAGAGTCATTTGTGGTGACCCCAGATGTGTGTCCCCGTTAGGAAAGGGGCAGTTGTCCCCTGTCAGGCGTCTGCAAAGTGGCAGTGCTGCACTGAGATGAAAGGTGGCTCTCGGCAGGCAGGGCTGCGAGCAGCACTCCCAGGGACGGGCTCAGGGCTGGCAGCACCGCTAAGAAAAGGACACATCTCCTTCTGTACTCGTCATTTTTCGGGCCTCAAGCACTGTGGTTGACCCTTGTATGCTCTGCCCTGTGCAGGGTTATCTGGGGTATTAAGAGGTGGAGTGTGCAGCACCAGAGCTAATTGAGATACCCAGGTGTCAGGGAGGTGTTGATGTAACACGGCCGACAGCCAACCTGGTGTCTGGGCAGAGCCGCCCTGGACCTGGCAGGGTCGTTTCCTGCAGCTCAGCTCTGACCCTGCTGGATGGAGCAGCCCCTGGAGTGCACTGTGCGTGCCCTGCAGGGCTCCCTGCCTGGGGGATGCTGCACAGCTCTGCCTCAGGGCTGGTGAGGGGGCCCAGACTGTGTCCCTGGACTAGGAACTGTCAATCTGGATAATTCAACTCTCCCTCTCTCTATGTATAATAAACTCTTAACTGTAGAAAGTACAAAAGACTGGAAGGAATATAATTTCCATTTTAATGTTCTTTGTGCTCCTCAGTACCATCACAGATACTGGTTGTTGGAATCACTGTTTTCCTCTATGCAGACTCCTAACTTTGGGGATCGTGTTTCCTACATGAAGTACAGATGTTGTATTTTTATTGTGACTTCAGTTATGTTCTTAACTTAAATTGGGAATTCTGTATTAACATAGAACTTTGAACCTTTCACTTAAGTCGTTTACTGTGACTGCTTAGGAGCATTTCCATCCCTGAAACTGGGAAGTTATATCTTATTTTCTCCTTGGAAAATAACTAGTAAAGAAAATGTCATCCTGACGTTGTTTGCATTTTCCTGAAATTAGAGAGACTCAGTCTCCTGGTTTCATTTTGCAACACTGTGTACTGCATCTATAACACACAACATTACCAAAAATGCAAACCTCAGAACTTCTATTCTAAAAGCTAATTATTTTTACTATTAGTGCAAATAGAAGTAGGGCGTCTTCAAGGGTGCAAATTCCACATTTAACCATGAAAATGCTTTTAAGGAAATCTAAGAACCGAAGGTTTTATATATTTTCACCTGCTTCCATTTGCTTTGCTCCGATTTGCAATACTTAATTAGGCTTTTTCAACATCCAGTTTTATAGTGAGTTTGTAATTTATGGTGAAACGAGCTGTACTCTGCAACAAGTGTAAGTTATGGCTCCATAACTTTCCAGTGGAAATCCTTCTATGCAGTTGGCCAGGAACCGTTGTAGCTGTGACAGGATAGAGACTGCTCAGCAGGAGTTAAGAGAAACAGGTCAAGTAGGTCAAATTGACTTAAGGACTTGACAAGAATCACCAGCTCTGTGGCTGGTGGTGACTGTGGGTCACCCACCAGCACGTTGGTAGTGAACAACAGTCTTTGAGTTCTTCTTAACTCTCCTTATTCAAGCAGTGACTCTGGAGGATTGTGCAGTACTCGTTACAGTGCCCTGCCTAATATTCATCCAAACCTGCAGCAGTGACTGAACTCTAAAATGTAAATTTTACCATTCAAAAGCACTAAACACGTTCGGTGTTATCAGTTTGGCAGGAAAAAAGAGGAATTCCTGTGGAAATTATACTGGCCAATCCATATTTTACAGTGGTGATCTTTAATACCAAGCCTTTTTAGATTAGGTCTTTAATTTTAGGCTTAAGAGAGCCTGTCTGCAAGGTAGATAGTGAACGGAACTTTTGATAAGTGACTTCTGGCTGTGATTTTGCTCTACTAGTCAACTGACGAGGAATTTTAATATGAAAAGGTGGCACATGCTTCAGGTCTGGAATTTCCTCCTCCTTTCACCTCCTCTTTGTACAAAGTAGCTTCGAGGCATGCAGTAAAAGCCATCTAGTTGATAAGACTTGTGGGAAGGGCTGAGGATACCACCCAGAATGAAAAGGGATAGGATTTGTTCTTTCATCTGTCTGATACCATAGAAATGTTTCCACTGTGTCAGGCTGCTGGTACACATTATAAGCTGGCCGTAAATGTAATTGCTTTATAGGTGTCTGAACCATCTACATTAAAACAACTAAGATAAAATTCAGAATTTTATGGGATTACAGAAATGCTGTTGAGGTATTGGGTGGTTGTTATGCGTTGCAGTGAACGCCTCACAGCACCACGTGGGAATTTAACCACTGGAATTTTAAAACTAGGATTTGGATTTAAATCTGCATTTGTCTGCATGGTCACTCTTAAAGTCACTATTACTTCTCCTTTTGAAAGAACTAATTTTAAGCCACGTTCTATCTTCAGTGCCGTGAGAGAGGAAGGAAGAATAGTGACTGTCCAATGAACTTGAGTATTGTTTTAATTAATAAACTTTTGGCAGGATAAATGAAGGAGACCATCTCTTGTGATCTGTGTAGCTTGAAGAGCCCATTTCCCCCTTAATGACTGCTGTAAACTGTGGCAGTGCTTCAGATTTCTATCAAGGAACTGAGGAGTTTGACTGCCACAGATTTCTGATGAAAGATTAGTTTTCTGATGAAAAATAATGTTTTGAAATGGAGGTTGCTTTTCTTTTTTACATAGAGTCTCACAATAGTGACAGCAATAGCTTACAGGAAAATAACATAATACAGGAAAATAACATAAAAAATGTTGAGATTCCTTCTTTCCATTTGGTACTTTGAAACAAGAACTGGAGACAGAT